ATGATATAAGGTCATTTTCCTATAGATAGTAAGGTGTGGTTTAGGTTTTCTGTATCCAGACTGACTGTTGGATCAATGGTTTCAGTTCTCTGGTCTCCTCAGATGACTTATTCTGGTAGCAGATGAACTGCAACATTTTATTTATTTATTTTTTATTTGCATTTCCTTTCTTAGTAGCAATTTGACATAAGACTTTTATATTTCATTATTGATTTGCAGTAATTTATTAGTTTATGAACCTATACCTTGTGTTAGGGAAAATTAAAATAGGAAAAATTTCCAAACAAATGCGCACTAGCAGTCACCACTGGAACCCTGCAACAAATTCTGTAAACCAGAGAGGGCAGCAGAGGGAAGCCAAATTCTATGCGTGATTATTTAAACAGCAACCCGTTGTTTTGGACAATTCTTAGGAAGCAATTTAGGAAGATGAAATCATGAGTCCTGGGTACTTTCCAAGAGATGAAATCCTCTGAAGCAGGCAGGAAATTGCCATTGTTTAAAAGTTCCAGCTCTGTCTTCAGACCACTTGTCTCTTTCTCTTTAAGTTGGAAGCAGAGAAATTGTGCGGGATCATCGTAAGCTCCATTTCAGATTCTTTCTTAACCCCGTTCCGACATAGGATATAAATTCCATTAGATGTCTGTGACTTCCATTTTCTCTCCTCAGCACACGTCAGTAGCCACAGTCTAGAGAAGGACAGGAGGGTGCTCTGGGGCAGTAAGGCATCCTTAGCCAAAGAGGCTGTCTAGGGGTGAAGCAAGGAGGAGGCTTTGAAACAAATGTGAACACTGTATTTACATTTAAATTAAAATGGAAACTTCTTATAGGTTATGTTTCTGAAAGGTGTGTGTCGTGCATCTGCTGAGGTCTATTGTTTATTCATGCTGTAAATCCTTTGAAATGTGTTAAAATGCTTCCCACTCATTATAAAGCTCCTGCCACCCCTGGATTATGACTTTGATGTCACCAATCCTGCTTCAAAGGCTTCTTTCTGGGCTATTAATCACAGTTTAGCCTCTGAAGATATCGCCAGAGAAAACATTTGGACATCTTTGTGCTAGACTTGCTAAAAACTTTGAAATCTTGAGTGTCTTGCCTGTGCACAAATTGCAGCATTTCCTTTCATTGACAACTTTTTATTTTGCTACAGAATCAGATGACATCCTAGGTGAAAAAGCAAACAGCTCTCTTCAAGAACTTAGTTTGGGAGGTTAGGGACGGGAGAGGAGAGGAGAGATTAAGGATGGGTGGGGAGAGGAGAAGAGCGTCTGAGCAGGCCACTCAGCTCCTTCAAAGGTAAAAAGCATTGGGAATCAGAATGGCCAAGAGATGGCGGTTCAGAGTGGGGGTTGTCTTATCATTTTTCTCATCGTTCAACTGTTTTTTTGACTGACCAGTGCTCACAGTTGCAAATTAGTAAGATCCCTTGGTGTTCTCTTGCCCTCTACTCTCTGCTTTGAGTCCTAGGTGAACTATGCACAGCAAATGGTAATAATAATATGACTGGTAATAATTAGTGCTGGCTGACATGAAGAGAGCACTTACCTTCACCAACCCTGCATTGACAGTGCTTGACATGAGTTACCCTCACTGAATGCCTGCAACAACTCTGAGAGCAAGGTAGTACTGTCTTCATGTTATAGATAAGGAAACTGAGGCTCTGAGATATTAATTAACTTGTTCAAGGTCACACCCCTGGCAAATGCAAAGACCCATCGGCCCCAGACTCAACGGCCCTTGCCCATATTCTCTGTGTCCTCTGGTTCCCTGTGTGGAATTCTCTCTGTGTGCTGAGAGATCCATACTGCCAGATCTGCTAATCAGTGTCTGTGTCTTAAACCTTCACAGTGGGGTTCTCTGTTGTCCAGTTTCTCTTTCAGGAAAGCTCCTAGCATCTGTTTTCTTGTATATCCATCTCCTTCAGGGACTAACAGTGCCCTAGTTCAAGACAGTTTTTTAATTGTGGTAAAAGAAACAACAAGAAACCTACCCTTCTAACACATTTTTAAGTGTATAGTACAATATTGTTCACTGTGTGCACACTGTTTTACACCAAGTCTCTAGACCTTTCTCATCTTGCATTACTAAAACTTTATACCCAGTGAGCAAAAGCTCCCCATTTCCCTGTCCCCTCAGCCCTTGCCAGCCAACATTCTACTCTCTGCTCTTATGAGCTTATCTATTTTAGATACATCATATAAGTGGGACCATGCCATATTTGTCTTTCTGTGGCTGCCTTATGTCCCTTAACATAATGTCCTCCAGGTCCATCTGTGTTGTCTCAAATGGCAGGATGACCTTTTTTATAAGGCCAAGTAATATTTCCATTGTATGTATGTACCACATTTTCTATATCCATTCATTCTTTGATGAACATTTAGTTTGTTTTCGCTACTTGGCTGTTGTCAGTGATGCAATGAACCTGGGAGGCAAATATCTCTTCACAGTTCTGTTTCCAATTGTTTTGGATAAATACCCAGAAGTGGGATTGTTGGATCACATGGTATTCTATTTTTTTATTTTTTCAAGAACTTTCATACTGTTTTCCATATTGGGTGCGCCATTTTACATTCCCACGGGCAGTGCACAAAGGTTCCAGTTTCTCCATGTCTTTGCCAACACTTGTTATTTTCTGTTGTTATTGTTGTATTTATAATGATTATCCTAACAGTATAAAGTGATATATTGTTGTTGTTTTGATATGTGTTTCCCTGATTCTTAGTGATGTTGAGCATCTTTTTATATACCGGTTGGCTATTTTTATGTCATCTTTGGAGAAATGCCTATTTAAGTCCTTTGCCCATTTTAAAATCAGGTTATGTTATTTTAATTTTTGCTGTTGGGTTGTAGGAGTTCCTTATAGATCTTGGAAATTAGCCCCTTATAGATGGTTTGCAAATATCATCTCCCATTGCGTAGGTTGCCATTCCCTGTGTTGATTGTTTCCTTTCCTGTGCAGATGGGATCTCACTTGTCTGTTTTTGCTATTATTGCCTGTGCTTTTGATATCCTATCCAAGAAATCATTGCCAAGATCAATGTTATGAAACTTGGCCCCTATAATTTCTTCTAGGAGTTTTATAGTTTTAGGTTTTACATTAAGTCTTTAATCCAATAGGAATTGAATTTTGTGTAAGTTAGGGATCTAGTTTCATTCTTTTCCATGAGGATATTGAGTTTTCCAAACATAGTTTGTTGAAGAGACTGCTTTTTCCCCATTGTATAATCTTGATACCCATCTTAAAGGTCATTTAACCATATATGCATATGTTTATTTCTGGGCTCTCTGTTCTGTTCCATTGGTCTATATGTTTGTCTTTATGCTGCTACCATACTATTTTGATTACTGTAGCTTTATAAGATATATTGAAATCAGGAAGTGTGAAGCTTTCAGCTCTTCTCTTCCTTCTCAAGATTGTTGGGAGCTTTGGGTCCTTTGTGGTTCCAGATGAATTTTAAGATTGTTTTTTATATTTGTATTTTTAAAAAATCCATTAGGATTTTGATGGGGATTGCATTGAATCTATAGATCTCTTTTGGTAGCAATGGACATTTTAACAATATTAGGTCTTTTAATTCGTGAACATAGTAAAGAGTAGCAGAATATGCCACCCTAAAATATACCACATTGGCATAAAGATTATTTTGAGCTGAAAGCAATTGAGAAAAAGCAGATGTAAGAAAAGCTCTCTGCCCTCCCCCTATTTGCATAAGAGAAAATTTGTAGAAGTGTCCCCCCACCCCAACCCTTCTGTATCAGGAAGAACAAAAGTTACTCACCAGAGACAACTCTAGACCCTTATCAGCCCAGAGACAGCACCAGAGGAATCTATATAACAAAACTTCACTAACTAGCCCTTACGTTCCATTAACTTCTCCATATATTTACCCTTCCATAATTTACTGCCCCTAGAAACTCAAAGATTTTTTGTTGTTGTTGTTGTCTTGTCACTTACGTAGAAATTTCTTGTTCTTTTATTAAGATGCTATGTGACCCAATTCTAGCCACCCCTTGAGTTACTCATTACTGGGTACTCCTGTGTGTGTGTGTGTGTGATGCATACAGTAATAAACTTCTGTTTGTTTTTTCTCCTGTTAAACTGCCTTCTGTCAGTCAAATTTTCAGGGCCCCAGGAAATGAACCTAAGATGAGTAGAGGAGAAAGATTCTTTTCTTCCTCCAGAACAAGATGTCTTTCCATTTACTTGTGTGTCTTCTTTAATTTCTTTCAAAAATGTTTTGAGTTTTCAGCATATAAGTCTTTTGCCTCCTTGGTTAAGTTTATTTCTAGTATTTTATTCTTTTTGATGCTATTGTAAGTGGGATTGCTTTTTACTTTCCTTTTCAAATTTTGATTGTTAGTTCATAGAAATGCAACTGATTTTTCTAGGCTGATTTTACATCTTATAACTTTACTGAATTCATTTATTCTAACAGGTTTTTTGATGGGATCTTTAGGGTTTTCTATACATAAAATCATGCCACCAAAGAACAGAGATCACTTTACTTCTTTCTTTACAATTTGGATGTTTTTTATTTCTTCTTCTTGCCTAATTGCTTGAGCTAGGGCTGCTAGTTGGTGGTGAGAGTGAGCATCCTTGCCTTGTTCCTGATCTTAGAGGAAAAACTTTTAATCTTTCACTGTTGAGTATGTTAGCTGTGGGCTTTTCATTTATGTCCTCTTTATGTTGTGGTAATTTTTTTCTTTTCCTAGCTTATTGAGTGAGTTGGAGAGGTTTTTTTTTTGTTGTTGTTGTTGTTTGTTTATGAAACTAATATAAATTCAGTTTATATTATAAATTATAATTTATAAATTATTACAATTTGTTTATAATTTATGTCATTAAGGTTTCAAAATTCAAATTCTTCTAAATTGTTCATATTCAGAGAAGATCATTTGGAAAATTAATAAAAATACAAGGCCAAAAGGGAAAAATTACTCATAATACTATTCCTTAACTTTTCCTTCACTTTAACTTTTTTGTCTTTTTTGCCTAGGTAACTTGGCCCAGACAAGAGCCAGGATGACAGCAGCCTCAAGATCTTTGCCTCCTCATTTCAGTGCTGGAAGAGCCAAGGTGAGTAGCAGGTTTGTACCCAAAATAATGGGGACCATGGGGTGCTCCTGCCTTGGGGACAATCCTAGAATAGGCAACTTTAGTTTATCTGGCACACTGCTGGGGCAGTCTGGTCAAGAGATGGAAGGCCAGGAGATCAAGAATTAGGAAGTTTGAAACAATATCATGACATCCTTACAATCTTGTGTCAGGGAAGAAAACTTTTCCTCTACCCTTTTAACTTCAGTTCTTGGGGGACTATGAATTAAACTCAACCTGAAAGATTAACAGGGGAAAAAGCAGATTTTAATCATGCACATACAGGAGCTCACTCAAAAAAGTGACTCAAAGGGGTAGTTAGAATTTGAGACTTATATACCATCTTGATAGGGATTAAACAGGGGGAGAAGGGCACTTCTGGGAGAACAAATGACTTTTGAGAAAAGCAAATGGTCCCTTAGGAGAATAGATGGGACATACGATAGTTTTGCGAGTGTTTATTTAGGCAATTTCTTATCCCAGTGCTCATTTCTCCTCTCTGGTGATAGAAGTCAGTCTTCCATGGCAGGTTGTGAAACTGCCAGGGAGGAGCTTTATGACAGTTGGATTATTTTGAGAGGTCCTGTTTTTAGCCAGATGAGGGGAGTTCAGAATAAGCGTCTTCTTGCAATTGTTGATTCTCAAATGTCCTCAGTTCAAAATAATACCTATGCCACTAGGAGTATTCCGGACCCCTTCACGTGATTTCTCAGAAAGACCACTTAAAATACAGAATAGTGACACTTGGAAATAAAGTCTATCTAGAAAGAGATAAAGCCTTTTTCCTTGAGGCTATCACTAACCTACAAAGGAGGATAACTGGGACCAAATGGAGTCAGCAGGGAGGAAAGAAACCAAACCATTTTTTATTGCTCTGCTTTGCCCTCTGAAAAATGAGCAGTGTACTTGTCTGTGCAGAAGGGATGTTAGAAGGGTTAGTAAATATCCTTCTGTAAAATATTTTTAATTGTTCCATCCTGCCTACTAATGTTTAAGCAAGGATCTCAAGGATCGGATGGTTAATGTTCATTGTATATGCTAACTCCGAAAACCAATTATCTGAAAGGTGATAGAGTAATAAATAGATTACATCTCTGAGTTTTCATATATTTTTATTTACATTGAATATTAAATTATTTAATAAAGAATAATAAATTCAGCCACACATAATCCTGTTGAGTATTATCTCAGAATTGATAGACACATACGTATCTTTACTTCTTTTGAGAATGGCTTACCTACACATAATAGGGACCCAGATCATTTTTATTAGCAATAATTTTTATACCCATATTGCTATTATAACCCCATGTATTACTCTACTTTTCAGTCTTGTGAGTTTGTGGCAAGGTATTAGTACTATTTAACTTGGTTTATATGGAACCCTAGAAAAGATTCACTTAGGAGTGTCGGTGGTTCTAAGATATTAGAATCTCTTGATATTATTACATGTAAAATTTTGTAAGTACAGTTGATTCTTATTTTTTTAATGTTTCTTTTTTTTAATGTTTATTTATTCTTGAGAGAGAGAGAGAGAGAGAGAGTGCACACACGCATGAGTGGGGGAGGGCAGAGAGAGAGGGAGACACAGAATCCGAAGTAGGCTCCAGGCTCTGAACTGTCAGCACAGAGCCTGACGTGGGGCTCGAACACACAAATGGTGAGATCATGACCTGGGCTGAAGTCAGATGCTTAACTTACTGAGCCACCCAGGCACCCCAGTTGTTCCTTATTACTCATAAAAATTATGTTCTGTAAAGTTGCTGTGAGCACTGAATCAGCAAATACTGAGGCATTGCTCCTAGGGGAAATAACATGGTTAGGTTCCTGAAGCCTCTGGTCATAACATTGTTGTCAACCAATTAATACATAATCTTGTTTTATGTGTGTTTCTGTTTAAAGGCATGTTATTTAATATATATTCTTACAAATAATTACATACAGTATTTCTTTGTATAAAATCGTATTTTAATTACAGTATTTGTGTTATTGAACTCAAGGCCAGCGGCACTATAACTCATGCCTGAATGAAGTTTATCCAACACACATATGTTCTCTACGAGGTACTTAATAACCTTCTTGCATTTAGGAACACCAGATAGCACTCCAGCACTATGCTTGGGGGCTATTTGAAACAGTGTAGTCACTAGCCAAAAGTACAAAAATGCAAAACACATGGCACTTAAATAAACTTGGAAAAAGATGCTTGCTTATAGCATGAAAGCTAAAACAGGGAGGCAGAGTGTCACCTTGTTCAACCTGAGCTGGAAACATGTACATTAGGTGATCAAAGTTTTCACCACTCTGTATGTCTGTGGATGACTATGAAAGCATTGCAGGTACTTATTTGAGGGTTATAAACAAATTTTTAAAAGTAGGCACATACAGGGTCACCTGGGTGGCACAGTCATTTAAGTAGCCAACTCTTGATCTTGGCTCAGGTCATGATCTCACCGTTTGTGGGTTCAAGCCCCACATCGGGTTCTGTGCTGTTGGTGTGGGGCCTGCTTGGGATCCTCTGTCTCCTTCTCTCTGCCCCTGCACCACTTTTGCATGTTCTCTCACCCACTCACTCACTGTCAAAATAAATAAACATAAAAAACAAAACCTTAAAGAAAAAAGCACATATAGAATCCACAAATAATGAGGATCAACTGTATTTGCGTGGTTTTTTTGGCTCCCACCAGATTCTAAAAGGGATCATGGCACAAAAAGATTAAGACTCCTGTGTGATATTCTCTACCAGCCCATGTTTCCTTCCTTTCCTCAATTTGATTTTGTAGCTTTTGGGTTCTGCCAGGACCCCACTCCCCTGCCTTCCACACCCAGAATACCAGCACAGTGTTACCTCTCTCTCTCCGCTCTCTGATTTATCCAAGATAAAATAACAGAGGTGATCTAGGAGGCTGGCTCCAACACCATTCAGCGCCACCACATTAGGATGGTTTCAAAGCCAGTCTTGCTTTTCCGTTCAGGGCTGTGGAGGCTTTGAGAGGAGTGATGTCATTGGGCTTTCTTCCTTAAGGGGTAGACAGATCATTTGATAGCAGTAAAAATTCTTGACAAAAGATGTTGTCCAGAAGATGGATGTAAGTACTTCTAAGGTTTCAGGATGCAAATAATGGGCACTTACTAAGACTGAGAAAAAAAATCAGTTTTTCATTTATTGCTGAAATCTAGATAGTTTATGAGACTTTTTTGGAATCTATGTCTTTATCCTAGAGTAAATTTAGTTGACAGATGAGGCAAGTCTTTTTAATAAAATAATGCTTTCAGACCAATTTTATAAATTCTATCAAATCATATAGAAAGACAGTTTATAATGTTTTAGAGGTAAAGTTTTAGAATCAGACAGAACGGGGTTCGGATGTAGACATGGCCAATTACTAGCTGCAGGGACTCTGGAAGATTTTCCTAAGATCTCTGAGCCTTAACCTCCTCATATGTATAATAGGAATAATCATAGTACTAACCTCATAGGGTCATTCTGAGACTTCAGTGGCAATATAAGCAAAGTGGTTACTACTGTGGTTTTACATTGAAACAATAGATGTTTTATTACACATGTTTGGTAACTATCTAAAACTCCATATGTGGAGTCCATACATGTACTGAAACTTGCTCATTTCCTGTGGACTTGGAGTATTACAATTTATAAAGCTGACTCAGGACTACCTTGAACGCTAACCAGTACCTCTCACAAGGAATTGGGCAGGATATTTGTCATGTGGGCAGAAAGCAGGATTGCTCAGCTCCAGTTGACTTATAGTGTTGTATAAATTGGCATTGGAAGAGAAAGGATACTGGGTTAGACAGACAATGGTTTGGTCCAGAATATTGGTTCTACCGATCATTTTGAAAATTGGTTTCATTGGAAGTATTTTCTCTGCCAATAAGTAAAAAGATCTTGCTGTATTTTATGGGCGCTAGAACCTGTCATCTACCATTAAAGAAAACCCTGCATCTTTGACATTCATCACAAAACTAAAACTAAATCAGTAATGATAATCATGGTAATAATGGAAGGGAAACTTATGTCACTTCTTGTATGTGTGCAAGGCAGTAACTCTTACTAACCAATTTTACTAATAGGGAAAACAGAAGCTTTCAGAATGTAAATAACTAAGCCTAAGTGCACACAGATAGTAAGTGGAGGAGCTAGAATCTGAACCAGGTATGTCCAGTTCCAAAACTCTGTTCTCTATTAGCATATATCCTGTGGGTCTAGGAAAGCTCTTCTAGTGCCTTTTCCTCCTATCTAAGGTGAAAATTTATAAGATACTTTGGAGAAAACTGGTTCTTGTGAATTTCTCACCTTTGGGAAGAACTATTTGCTAGATGATATCCCTAATGAAATCTACTTTTCGAATTCTAAGAGATTTTTTTTAATTAAATGAGACTACTGTTAACTAAATTAGCTCAGGAAGACAAACTCTTAGGTCAGACAACAACCTTCACTTCTGTTTTGATTTTGAATGGGGGGGGGTAGTTCCTTGGGGTTCATGGTAGACCTGGTGCAGACAAGAGCTTTGCACCTAGTCTCCTAGTTTGAAGGACCAAGAGACTCAACTTCTGGTATGTCCCTTGTCCAAAATTCCCTCTTTTAGATCCACTCCATGTTCAGAAGAACCTTGTGACAATGAAAGAGATCCTTGACCAACACAAGACCTTTCCAGATTCTTAAATTAGAAAATACCTCAATGGCATGCTATTTATTCTTTAAACTATAGTGCTAAATGTGCAGGTGATAAACTGTGGACAGGCATTAGCACTTGCAGGCTGTATGTAATACCAAATAGGTTTTTACTTACTTCCCAAGAGTTACTGTGTATGTGAGTAGAAGGACAGAACTTAAGGTCATACTGGGTGGCTAGATAGGGGATCCCACCAGCTTTATAACTGTTGGAGTGCAAATCATTGCTTCATTCTGTATTTTTCTAGTTTACTGCAGAGGACAGGTACTAATCTTGAAAACAGTAGTTACTGTACCTTTTAAATTATGTCCCAGCAGAATGAATATCCATCAAGGGCTTTCTGATCACTAAACTGTTAAATCCTCAAATGCCAAGGCCCATTGTATATTCTGAGGGAAGGTAACAGGTAAATCCTACTAATAGAGAAATAGGGATGAGTTTTTAAGCTGCTCTTTGCCTGTGTCCTTGAGCCTGAAGGGCTGGCACTCACTGACTAGTTCGAATAAAAAGGGAAGGAAACGAAAGTGGAAAAGCAAGGTTCAAACTAATGTAGGGTTCCTCTGAATAAAAGGAAGTGGTGGAGAAATTCCCAGGTTTAGAGTATGTGTGTATACATGTGTATGAAGGTCAGGTTGGGGAGAAAGATAATAAGGAGAAAAAAAGCTCAAGAAAACTTAGAATTTACAATTTGATGAAAGGCAGACCCTGGCCAAGATCCTCTTTCCTTCAGTCCTGATTGGCTTGCCCTAAACCTCACCAGCTCTGAGCTCCATTCTCCAAATGGGGGTCTGATGGGGGAAGAGAACCTTCAGTGGGTCCTGGCAGATGCCCACAGAGAAAGTGCGGTATAGTCTCAGCAGGTGGGAGCAGGTGTGTTTGTGTTTGTTTTTCCTTTTTCTATATTAGAACAGCCTTCCTTCTCAACACTGTGCTTCCATTTCCTCCTTTCTCATTAAAAAAGTAAAAAAGTCAAACCTACAGGCTGTTGTACCATTGCTTCTTCAGCTGCATACAAATGAACTGATGGCCTTGGGAATGCCTTCAATATGCAGCCTAGAAAAAGGAAGCTGCCCTGCCCCCTGACATCACTTCATGCAGAGATCTCCCCATTTTCCTGCTCACTATTTAGGTTGCTTTTCTAGTCATTGAAAACTTAACTCCCCATTACTTCCCTTTCTTAAATAAACCTGTTTTCTTTATCTAAGCCAATTGAAGTGTTTCCTTCCATTTTGGACAGTCTCCTAAATACCCGTTGTGGTAGGCCTCATTTTTTGGCCCCATCCCCATGCCTTCGGCCCTTCTAGCGCCCACTTTTCACTTTTGTTGAACGAGGCCGCAGACATCCTCACCCCATGGGGAGGTGGCCGCCTGGACAGCAGTCCACCAAGCAGAACATACTTGCTGACAGCAGCATCTTCCAGTTCAGACATTCCTGCTTCATACCCTTGCCACCTGTTCAGAGCAGATGGGAGGCTGCCATGGCAGAGGCTGGTGCTCAAACGGCACCCGTGCACTCTGCAAACCAAATAGCTTTGTAAGTGTAGGAGCAGGGTTTTTATTGTTGAGGCATGGTAACAAAACATGGGCTGTCTCTTCCAATTGGTGTCATTCATAAATTCCTTCTAGTCAGCCTAGGTAGTTAGAATAGATGATTGGGAACAAGTGTATCCCAAGCTCCAGTCTGCAGGGTGGGAGGTGGGAGGGGTGGCAGAGGCAGGGTTTGATGGCAGGAAGGTGACTGGAGCTCATCGAATTCCCTGTGGTTCAAACCGGGCTTTGGGCCCATGTCTTTATAATCACCCAGCCTCATGGGTCATTGCCCAGTTTTCTCTTAAGGAATAGTTTGGTCTCGTGTGACATTATTGGAGAATTTAACAGGGGCGCGTTAGAACATCAAGAAATAAAGAAATAACGGTGAGTGGTGTTTATACTGAGACCGTATGATACTTTGCAGAGTGTGGTCCTTCCCAAGTGAGTAGAACAGTGCAAATTCTGTTTTTCTTTTAAATTTTTTTTTCAATGTTTTTATTTATTTATGGGACAGACAGAGACAGAGCATGAACGGGGGAGGGGCAGAGAGAGAGGGAGACACAGAATCGGAAACAGGCTCCAGGCTCCGAGCCATCAGCCCAGAGCCCGACGCGGGGCTCGAACTCCCGGACCGCGAGATCGTGACCTGGCTGAAGTCGGACGCTTAACCGACTGCGCCACCCAGGCGCCCCTGTTTTTCTTTTATAAGTCTTAACTCTTCTCCCCATAGTATGCACTGTTGGGTTCTACACTTCAAGGTCCCTCAGGTATTTAACCAAAAAACCTTTTACATTTTGGAAAATCTGGAAAATGTCTATATCCTCAAACCACTTCCCTCTGCCTCTGCTCCAGGTGGACACTCTGGAGGTGATACGGCATCCAGAAGAAACCACCAACATGAAGAGGCAGACCATGGCTTCTTATTTCCGGGTATGGAGTCTTTTTGGGCTCTGCTCTGCCTATTTCCAGAAAGGACTTACCAACCCTTCCCATAAAAGGCCCAGATATTATAGGATCATTGAAATAAGAGCAAAGCATAAGAGTCAGTTAAGAAAGGTGGGAGTGTGAGGAGAGAAAAATGTAGTGGGGAGCCTACCTCCAAGTATAAGGTTCTCTGATTCCAGAAAGATCAGATGAAATCCCACGTGTCTACCGGCGGGGGGCAGCACTCTTTGTCCCTAGCACATAACCCTGTCCATTGAATGTATTTATTCTGTTGGCATTTGAGCTGTTTCTTGGCCTTAAAGTTACTGGAACTGGCCACTTTCCCAGCATATTTACTGAAAAATAAAGTAGTTAATAATATTACAGAAGGTGGCTTATTAAGTTCAGATCCTGAGGGAATCTGTCTTAGTTTTGACTTTATTTTCCTAGATCGAATTGATCCATTGCAAAGCCCAATTATTTCCCATCTCTGCTGCCCCAATTCTTGATATTTCATTTAGTAAAATGACTCCTTTGAGTAAAAATGTTGTGCCTAGAAGGGCTCTATTAAATGCACATTATGTAGGTAAGATAAGATGCAGAACTTTGTACCAATTTGCACGTATTTGTTTATCTTCAAATTATAAAGCACTGGGGTTAGAAGCCCCTTAGAGATCATGTACCACCACTTTGTAAGTGTAAGCTTTGTGGTAGAGATGTGACGAGTAATTCCAAAGATGGAATTACTGGTCTCAGGTTGTAAGGTGGGGTAGCAATAGGAAGGGGATCCCCAGGGATGAGAAGTCAAGTGGTCATGAGCTGGAGTTGCCAAGGCAGGCTGAAGGATGGGACCTTGGAGCCAGTACCATGGATGGAAAGCTGCATGGAAAGCTAGTAAGTTTAAGAAGGATCCAGAGCCAAGAAGTCTGACCTAGCCAGTTGTACTTCAGAAGTAGACTAAAATTGGGCTCAGAGACCTTTGAGTCCAGCAGTCCATCCATGCAGCAGTTTCTGCTACAGCTTCTCTAGCAGGTAGACATTCAGCTCCTGCCTCATCACTCTCATGGTTGGACATTTCTAACTGCCACCTATTTCTTATCTTGAGACCTATCCTGATCCTGTCTCCTTTGGTGGCTGTATCCTCCTAGTGTCTTGGGTGTATGTGTGTGTGTGTGTGTGTGTGTGTGTGTGTGTGTGTGTGTGTGTGTATCATGGGTTTTGAAGGCTCTGAACAACCCTGTGAAATCATCAAGATCTTAGAGTACCTGTCTTAAGAAAAGCCACCTCTGTCTTACGGGTTTTCAGAAATATACCCATGACAACCAGTTTGGTGTCCTCAAAATACTGGGCCTCAAATGTTAATTTTGAGAAACAGAATACTTTGGCAAGTAGGTAACACCATTGTGGATCAGTAGGAGGTGTGATTATGGAATAATGGGACTGATCTCCTGTGTAGCCTGTAATTGCCCCTGAAGGTATATCCAAAAGAGAAGCTCCAAAAGTAGATGCCCCTGAGGATTAGCTGAGGCCATCCCCACACAAGCAGTGCTTGGCTTTTCCATGTGCCCCCTTTCTGTGAGAGCCCCCTGCCAGCCACTCGATGTGTATTAGTTGAGCTTCAAAATAATCTCCTTTTCTCCAGTTTTCTTTGCCCTCCTTCTCTCATTTTCTTGTCTTTCTTCTGCTTCATTACCAGTGGTATCAGTAGGATTTGCTTAGACTTTCTGGTGGTTCTTAGGTTGAAGCAACTGACCCCTTTCCTAAAAGCTAGACATTTTAAATTACAGGTACAGTTTGGGGAGCATTGCCTTGGAATACCAAAGACTCTCGTTCTGGTGATGGAGTTAGAATAGCCCAAGCATGATTTTAGCTATGTCTCTGCCACATAGGGATATTGCTTGCACTAGGTGATGTTTAAAGAATGCTTTTGAGTCCACAGACAGCTAGAAGTACTCATCAGAACCTATATTATCACCCCCTATTGCTGGTGTCTTTTTCGGCCTCAAAAAGGTGTGTGAGTTGTTTGCAAGCCCATAAACGGCTCTAGAGGCCCCTGGTAGGCCTACGTTGTAATTATCCTTTATGTTTGTGGTAACCTTATTTCATGTGTATTTTTTCCCCTGGTAGTATTCTCTGATGGATCTGCTCTCTAAAATGGTGGTCGGACAGCCCCACTTTGTGCGCTGCATTAAACCCAATGATGACCGAGAGGCCCTGAAGTTCTCCCGAGAGAGTGTGCTGGCCCAGCTCCGCTCCACAGGGATCCTGGAGACAGTCAGCATCCGCAGGCAGGGGTATTCCCACCGCATCCTCTTTGAAGAGTTTGTGAAAAGGTCAGGCCAGCATCTCGGGATATACATTATGTTAAACATGGCTGTGCTGTGGCTATCCTTGTCCCCTGGGATTGCTGCTTCTGCCTGTTTGCCTACTAACATATAATTGGCTAGTTACCAGCTGCCATTTACTTGTTTAACTGTTGCATTTTTATTGTGCTTCAACTGAATTGCAGTGGTCTGGAGGACAGAGTAAGCACCCTCTGATCACTTAAAAAAAATTAAAATGTCCATAGATATTTGTATGTTACATATATCCTTAGATTTTAAAACCTCCAGATACTGAATTGGTAGGATACAAGTATTCCTCCACAAGTGGGTCAAGATCCTAGTAGATGTGAATACACCCAGGCACCCAATCCTCTCGCATGCTAAAACAATGGCCTCATATAATAGGATAACTAACATTTACATAGCACTTAGAATGTCCTAGATATATAATCTCATTTGTTCCGTAGAACAACCCTGTAAGCTATGCTGTTATTATTCCCATATTATGGATGAGGAAATTGAGGCACAGAAATGTAAGTGACTTTCCCAAGGTCCCATGAGTAAATAGAACAGAAATCTGTAGAACAGAAATTTGAACCCATGCAGTCTTTAGCGTCCACACGTTTAAACTCCTCAGTCCACTGGATTCAGGCAGTGTGTATTGAAATAAATTGCTTCGGAGCTTTTTAGACCCAGAAATTGACTTTACTTAGGAGTGAAAAACCTCTTCTTTTCTTTTTTTAATGCTTATTTATTTTTGAGAGAGAGAGAGCGCGCGCGTGCGCGCGCACACACACACACACACACACACACACACACGCACACACAGGAGCCTGCGCAAGTGAGTGTGGGGGAGGGGCAGAGACAGAGGGAGGCACAGAATCTGAAACAGGCTCCAGGCACCAAGCTGTCAGAAGCTAACGTGGGGCTCGAACCCATGAGCAGTGAGATCATGACCTGAGCTGAAGTCAGACGCTTAACTGACTGAGCCTCCCAAGGTGCCCCAAACCTCTTCTTTTCTATACAACGGCCATGGGGATGCATTGTGTTTTATGGGATTATGGGTAGAATTTTTACAAAACTTTCTGTGAGGAAATAGAGGGCAACAATAACAAAAAGCCACCTGTGAGGTGCACTGCTAGCTGAGGACACCCAGAGAGGAAAGTTAAAACCCATTATAAAATCTGCACCCCGTCAGTCATCTGTAGTTTCTTTTTTCCTCCTTTCTGAAACTTATGCCAAAGGTCATTTTTCCAACTTTTTCTCTGGGAAGAATGGATCCTAATATGGTATCTTGCTTCTTTGAGTCTTCCAAATGCCACTGCATTTCATGGAGAAGAAAAGGCAAAAAAATTCCTTGCAATGAGAGGTTTTAAATTAAAAATAATGAAATGGTTTTTTAAAAAGAAGTGTCTTTGAACTTTTTCCTCTTAAATTTGGAGGTGGAACAAGAAAAAAAAAAGACTATTTTAGCACATGAATGTGACTAGTCAAGTATTTTTAGCCACTAACTGTGGAATACATAAAAATATTTAAGAAAACAGGTCAAATGCTAAACAGATTGGCACTTCTTTGTTCGTAATCAGAAAGCCATTAGGCAAGTATGAACAAGAATTTCAAAATGTCAGTAAATCTGAGGGTATCAAAGATTTCTGAGCCAGCAAGTTAATTGGTATTTTGATCCTTTTGAGCAATTTAACAACAAAATGGGTGAGTTAGCAGTTTCTTCCTTGATGTTATTCAACAAATAGGTGCGCCTCTCATCTTCCTGCTCAGGAGTGCTGTTTTGTAAACTCTTAGCAGGAAATGCAGACAAAACAATCAAAGGCAGGGAACAGAGTCATTCAAGGTATATCGGGTGGAGATAAATAAAAGATAAAGACTTGTTTAATGTTACTCTTTACCGTTTTGTATTTTCTGGCATTTGGGACTGAATCTTGAAAGACTGTGTTTGGGGGATTATGTTGTCGGGTTCCAGAATGGGGAAAGACTTCCCCAAGTCACCCAAATCTGCCACTTGGCCAAACCTAAAATACTTCCTCACCCCATCATCCTTTTCTGGCAAAACTTGCAAGTGTCCTTCCTATTTTCCATTCATGGAGCCTTGGAGGAGAGAGGTCGTTCTAAACACCTTCTCATCAGTGGGGCCAGGTGGGTTGGAAGTATTTATTCTAGGATAGGTATGAGAGAAGTCACCTGGCAATGCTGGGCAGGTAGCTGAAGCCTTTTGAAGTCATACTATTGAGGGCCAGCACGGTAATGACTGTGAATGTTCATTGGCTTCATGGTCATTGGTCCCTGAAGCATGGTCCAGGAGAAAGTGTCTACTGGGGCAAACGTATAGGACAGCATGTGTTGGGATGTGTTCTGGCAAATGTCTGTAAGATAGGACTGCACATTCAATTCAAAGTCTCATCATTCATTTATTAAACTATTGCAACAAATAGTGCAATTTAGTAATGAGATCAGAGTTCTAATCTACTTGTGAATATAGTATTTGGCAAGTCACTTGACATTTCTGTAAAAGATATTTCCTTGTCTGCGTGAGAAGGCAGGAATACATAGAACCCACATCCTGAAGATTTTGAGAGATTGCATGCAGATTCCTTGGCTTTACTTGGCCTCTGAGTCTTCCAGAAATGCCTGCTTCCCACATTCAGGCTTACAGGAGGTGTTATGGAACCAGACTGGATCACTGGCGGAAAAACCAAGTGGCACTCGGAGATCTTGGTGGATCGGAGTTTTATTTTACACTGGCGGGCTCAGAGGAGATCCTTCTCCAGAGATCTGAGCCCTGAATGCAAGTGGGAGGGGTAGTTTATAACATCATCTTGCGCATTCATGGTGGTTTTTGCGTGTGCAGCAAACAGAGCAGGAAGAACCCGGAAGAGGAGTCTCTAACTAGAGTTTATGTTAGTCCCATCAGCCATCTTATGGTGCACAACTTTCCTTATTTTCCCAACAGAGGGAGAACTGTATGTCCCAGGACTCAATTCATAATAGTTGTTAAATCAACGTCTGTTAAGCAGAATGACATTTACTCCCCTGACTCAGGACATCGCAGTTTTACACCCCATGATACAGGGAATTTCCACCTAAGAAAGATTACTTATCTTTCATGTGGAATTTTGTATGTTGCAATCCTAGGACTATTTGAGATCTCCCTAATGTACATAACACCTTCAATTTTCTTTAAGATCTTTCCTGTCAGTAGTTTACTATTTCTCATTATTCTCTTCCTATGTTTTCCCTTTGTAATTAATATGAGGTCAATGAAGTATTGTAAACTTGTAGAATTTCCTGGCAGTGACAGAAAGAATATACAGTTACACAGAAGAATTTGAGTCTAAATGTATGGCTTAATGCAACTGATACTAGTTTTTCATAATCGTTGAGAGTGGGGGTGATCCTCTCAGCAGCTGCAGAAACACACATATATTATTTCCAACAAACTATGCTGTTATTGAAAGTATTTTTTATTTGGAACTTCCTTCAGAACTAAGCACACAATTATTTTATTTGACTTCTGGGAACACCCAGTTTGACCACCTTTTCTATTAGACTTGGCCCTGAATTAATCTTAGCTATTTCTGAAAATTAACACATGTACATGACAAAAATTTACCAACTTTGAGGCCAGTTTTTAAGTGGAAGTTCAGATTTAGGTTCTAAAAATGAGTCCTTGAAATGTTTGTGACAAAAGAGCATTCTTAGGGATGTAACATCCCAAGGAGTTGGGTAATGAGTGATCTTTAAAAGGAACCACATTTATTAGGACCTTTATATTGGTTCTGATGTGACTTGTTTGTAAATGAGTTACCTGATTTTATAATTACTTTCCAAGTAGTAGCAGAATCACTAGCAGCTACCGAGAAGCCTTCTGAATGCCAAGGATTATGGACACAGTTGTCACTCCTGAACATTTATGAAGAATCAAGGATGCCCTCATGAAAAAATGTCTCCTAAAAGGTCATTTATGCACCTCCGCCTTTATGTATATATCCACATCTCTAATAGAATGCCTGGCACAGAGTAGGTACTCAAAAAATGTGGAACAAATTATTCTAAACCTCCATCCCCTCAGCGAAGGTGCTTTATTGTTACCACTATTATTTACATATACTCGAAAGGAAATGACATACAAAACTCCTCACTGAAGGCATCTCCAGAGTTGGCAAATTGACTTTTTTTGGATTCTAGATCTGGATCCTTTGAGATCCAGATATTTTTGTCAGTAGAGGGTCCGGAGTGACTCTAGACATCCAGACGCTTTTAAATTTGACCTTGATTTTCAAGTCTTTCATATTTGGACTTCAGCCTTTGACTTTGTACTCCTTTTGGCTCTTTCCCGAGTAGTTCCTGGATGAATCCAAGTGGTGGATATACAAATCCCATTAGCCACTCACCTACAGGGCTTCTTAGATCCTGGCCATGAACATATCCTCCCTGTTATCAAGAGAAGATGTACAATGAGGACCTACCTATATGGCAAGTTCTGTACAAGGTGCTGAGAACACAGAGAAGGCGCATTCTTGTCTTTAGCATCATTGGGTTAATAGAAAACATGTACTGGATGGATTACAAAAGAACATGTGACACAGGACATCCTAAATATATATTTTCTCCTTTTGACTACTTCCTGCCATACTTTTCAGAATGCGAATGGTAGTCTCTCAGCTGAATTTTTGCCTAGCCTCCAAATGTGTCTTCCCAACCCCAGCCTGTTTATTGGACATAATTCCTTACACTGCCACTAGTTATGTTGCTAAAAATATAAAGATAATCATGTCATTCTTGTGAATAAAACTGGTCTGCTCCTCGTTGCCTGCAGAATAGAACCCAAAGCCTTCAGCTCAGCAGGCAAGGCTTCTTATAATACACCAACCAACTATTCTCATTTTTTCCCCCACCATTCTCTCTTACACACCCTAGACTACCATCAGTCTAACCTTGGACCCTCCAGGCCCATACATAATGCTGGCCTTTACACCTCCTATTTTCTCTGGTGG